TTTAAACATTATCATATCTAAAAGGAATTTCCCAAAGTATGACATAGGAGGGCGACCTATATTCTAAGAGTCAAGATCTATAGAGATAGATCAATTAGAATGTGAGAGGTCTCCCAAGACGGATGCATTGACATGATACTAAAAGGTTTAGTATAGAAAAATCAAATAAAGATTTATTTTAATGACATATTGCTTGATGAACAACAATAGAGGATCCATAGCATAAGTCAAGGAACCAAGGTCTCATCAACGGTCTAAACATATATTGTGACACTACCATCCGATTAAAGAGATTATCAATCGTAGCGACATAAGGATAGAAAAGGTTCATATTAATGATAATATAACCGATCCGTTGACTAAGCTTTTATTACGAGTTAAAATATAAGTCCCTTACTCGATCGACGAGATTAAGGGACATGATTGGTTGGCTCTAGTACAAGTGAGAGATTGTCGGTATAAGTGCCTAAGATCCAACCATGTTTGGATATGTTTGAGTTATTGTATTATTGTATCATTTATTTTATTAATAATAAAGAATTCTTTCTATTAATTATTATGTTTTATGTTTATTTATTCGAGTAGAATTAGATAGAAGTCCTTATGATATCTATTTGCATTGGTGGTTGATCGAAAGATGTGAGATAAACACTAATGTACATAAATGATATCATTAAATGTCCCAAGTTATAGCATTATCGGGAATGGACATTGATTATATATGGTTAGACTTGTGAGTGTTATGCTTATGCTATATGATAGTAGTAGAAGATCCCACACCTATTGGTATGATGATGCCAAAGTAAGCACTTAAGTGATTTATATTAGAGAACATATCACTAGACTTGACTCATCATGAGAACCCATTTGGTTTAGTTTATAGGAATCTTATATAAGATGGGAACAACTAGTCCTTAGGCTTGAAGTCATCACGGTTATCTCATTAAAGGATTTATATACTTTGACACTCATTTCGATGGACCTAGTAAAGGGTTGCACATGGTTGATTTATTGGATGCACTAGGAATCTAATGAAGGTAGGTGGATGACTAAGATATAACATGTCATTTCTTATATGCTAAAGGATTTATTACATTGCACTCGATGAATGTGTGCTAAAAAAATCTATGGTCATAAGAGTATACTAATTGAGCATAGTTGGTTTACTCTAAGTGCTAAGACATTTGGGAATCGAAGAAAACTTGTGTGCTCGTGATCGAATAAGACTAATAACCAAGTTTGAGATCACACTCGTGATTAGTTAACATGAGGATTGAATTTTATGATAACCATGCTCGTGAAAGATAATTGCGGATTAATTAATCATCATAGAGAATTGGGTAGTCATGATGCCTTACTAGAGGCCAATATTAATTTATGTATCAAGAGATAAAAGAGTTTCTTTTATTCTTGATACATTGTTAACATATCTAGGAGCTTATTGAGTCATGTGTATAAGTTTAAGCATTCATATGATTAAAGAGAAGCAAAGATGTTGGAAAAAGTTTTCAATTTTGAAAAAAGGTTTTTGAAAATGAAAAGTTTCGAAAATCAAAGTTTCCTATTTTAGAAATCATTTTTTTAATTTGAAAGTTAGTTCCAAATTTAGAAGTAAATAACCTAAAATGAAAATTAGTTTCCTAATTTAGGTTTAATGGTAATTTGAAAAATAGTTTCCTAACGTGTGCCTCCTAAAATTATCAAACTTAATTTATTTGGATAGTCTAAATTAATTAATTAGGCCAAAATAGTTTTGGGCTAATAGGTTTAATTAAAAGCCCGAAAGATATTTTGGTGGGAGGATAAACATAAATCTTATTAGATAAGGATGAATGTTTTATAGATAAAGATTAAAAGCCCACATATTAAATAACTCATAATCTTATGAGGATTAGGAAGCAATAACCAAGAATTCAATTAGGATTAGTTGTTGCCCCTCTTTATCCTTGGATGATAAGAAAGCCCCTCCTATAAATATGTGAGAGAGAGGTGTGGAAAAAACTAATGTTTTAGGAGAGAAAAAATGGCAAGGCAAGAAAAAAAGCTAAGGCACACGACATTGAGAAAAATAAAAGGAGAAAATAGTTTTCTCCTAAAAACCCTAGCACACATCACACTAAATAAAGTAAAAAAAAGGTGAAGTTAACACTCTACTAATTTTGAGTGCTTCTTTTATGGGTGTTTGGACTACATGGATTATCGATAAAGGTCGGACACTTGGATGACTATTTTCCGCAACGGTTTAAATCGCTCTTCAAGAGGTAATTCCTTATTTAAAAATTTAATTCTTGAATATATGGTTAGTTGATTCAACAATATAACCTTGGGCTCTTTGGATAAAGAAAATTTTTTGTTTTATTTTGCACCTTCATAGAATGCATGCATGGTCATTCATTAAATTGATCATTTTCAATAAAAATATTTTAAAAATTTAGAAGGTGATCAATTTCAATGCCCCTAAAACAAAAAATAGAAAAATAAGGCAAATAAGCTTTAAACACAAATCATGTGTCCACATATTATCTTTATTTGGAATTTCTTCCTCCTTTAAACTCGTTAAGCTTTTCTTTAGATTCATATTTTTTGATAAGTTGATTTTGCATCGGTTTCTTTGTTTATAGAGTTGATAGTCAATTATGGTAGTATCACAATCGGAGGGTCGACATGTGTAGATACCGATTGGGTGAGTCGTCATTCCTAACTATTTTCTTTCACTACCAACACATTCACCATCATATTTTTAAATTATCGGCTAAAAACCATCACTTCTTCATTTAGTTACATGACATGACTTGGTCGAGGGAGTGTGACTCGAATGTTTGGGATCTCAATCTTTCGACTCTTGTCCTTAACCATCCTCTTCTCTTTCTTTTTTCTTTTTCCTATCATTCTTAGAAAATCTTTTTGATTAGGCTTGAAACCTAATTTGAAACTTTTCTCAACCTATTTGAGCTTTGTATTTCCTCCTTTCAATATCTCGTTTCTTAACTTAGATGTTGGTGAGCTTCCATAATAAATCATGTATTTTGTAGTCATTTTTGTTGCTTCAATTAGTTTTAGGACTTTTTTAATAGAGTTTTCTAAAACTAAGTCAACATTGACAATCTCAAAACCATGAAGATCCTTTTTCTTTTTAGTTTTTATATAAGGTATTGACATATTTTTAATAATGGATAAAGTCTCTTTCTGCTTTCACTCGTTACCAAGTGATATTTGGCTATATACTTTAATATTTGATACAATGATGAAGCGACACAACCCCGTAATGCAATCATGGCCTACCTAGTAGTTTACTATAAGTAAGTTATGTGTGTATTACTTGAAGTGTGACTTTAAAATAGAAAGAGTCAATCATTAGTTTATTTTGTTACAAACAATATATAGTAGGTGCTTTATATGATTATTTGAAAGCGTTATAATTATAATGCCTTCAACTTTAAGAAGTAATAAATAAAGTCTATGAAAAACTAAGTATATATACTTTTTAGTCCATAATCACTTATAAAAGGCTTTTTTACGACTTAAATGATGCCTTTTTTTAACACACACACATATATATATATATATATATATATATAATTAAAACCTATTATTTGCACCCTATGCTTTCACCAATTCATTAAAAAAAAAAAACTCTTTTATTATCAACTTAGTAAATCGAGTACATGTATTTTATATTTCAACTAATTGAGTATAACTTTTCAAAAATTTAAAAACAAAATCATCTTAGCTAATTCAATAGTCAATTTCACTAAATGAGTCATTATCGTCAATTTATTATTATTATTATTATTTTGTTAATATCATCACCGACCCCATCATTCATGCCTTCCTCATTGGTTTGATTTTGACAAGTTGTACTCAATTGTTAAAATAAAAAATATAAGTATTCAATCACCAAATTAATAACACATAGACTTTCTTTATGAATCACTAAAAATATATGGTACAAATAATGAGATTAACCAATTTTTTCAATTAACCCCACTATGTTCGACATGTGTTTTCATAAGTATATCAAATATGTCCTTGTATTTCTAATTTAATCAATTAAATAAGTGCATTTTTAATTTTAATTAATTGAGTATGATTTTGCAAATCAATAATTTTTATATGATGAGTCGAATAAAAAAGAAAACCATATAGATTAAGACCCATGTGCAGTACTTATTCATGTGTATGTTATATTTTTACTTGATTTAACTTACACAAATGATCAATTTTATAAAATCGTGATCTAATAACTAAATTTAGAAATACACGTGTTTTATTTATGAAATTGAAAACACAAGAACTTGTTCGATGAATTTATGAAAACACAGAATGCAAATAATGGATTTTGTCAACTTTTTCTATTAAAATTACACTTGTTTGTTTGTAACCAGGAAGCAATTAATTAAATTATCAATATTTAAAATAATTTTTATGGTATATTAAGTAAACTTACTGTATTTTATTTTTACTTTTCATGAATTAATGTTCAAATTTCCGAAGCAAGACAATGAGCACAGATGTACAAAGATTAGAAAAAAAAGTACTTCCTCTGTTTTTAACATATTATCCTCTTTTTTATTTATATCTGTTCTAAAATAGTTATTTGATCAAAATTTTAAATATTACATATATTTTTTAAATACTCCTAATCAATTCTTCTTTTTATTTCTTATTTTTACTAGCTAAATATGAATGATAGTCTGAAAATATATTTTAAAAAATAAGAATAAAAAAGATTACGTGTCATGATAACTAATGTAATTCTTAATATGTAAATAAAAAAAATAAAAAAATAAAATAAAAAGCAGCTGCAAATTTAACCATAAGAGGTTGACAAAGCAACAAAAATCCCGCAGCTTTGAAAGACCATCTCCTCAAACAAAATCAAAACATACTATCCGACGGCACGTATTTAGGGTTCATAAACTCCAGAGCCAGACAGGAACGCGCTTGCTTAATCACTAACTACTTCAAACAGAAAGAGAGAGAGATAGAGCGACAAAACGATGGGGTCCAGAGACAAGGACCAAACTACACCGCATCACCAGCCTCTCCTTAGCAGCCTCGTTGTACGTCCATCCGTCAGCGATGGCGGTGATGGCGTCGGAGGTGGAGGCCGCCCCGGTGGTAGCGATTACGAGCCTGGCGAGGTCCGCCGTGAACCTCCATCTTACTCTCGCTCCGATCGATACTCTGATGATCCTGGTTTGTTTCTTTCCTCTTAATTTTAGCTTATTAATTTGTTTTTGGATCTACCTTTATTTTGATTAAGATCGATATATGTTAAGTTCTTTTTTATGAAACCCTAGATCGGAGTAGGAGAGTTATTTGAGTTATAATATAATGATACGATTGGTTTCTTCTCGTGATTTTTGCATTTGTACATATATTTCAGTACTAGACCTAGCATATTGAAATCTATGTTTTTTTTTTCACATGATTATTCTATGAATTGTGTTTGAAGAATTGGAGTGAAGAGTGATTTGAGGAGGAATTTTCCGTATGATAATACAATTCACGTCATGAATGAAATTGCTTTGTTATTTTAGGTTGTGATCTGTACCTTTTATTATTTAATTCGTGGAAATCATCCTTTAACCATGCGTAAATTCTTCTGAGAAGCTAATATTAACTATTTTGAACCTAGCTTGGATCTCATAGATTGAGAACATGTCAGTGTAATTGAGTAACTTTTTGGGAGGTGCTTAGATATCCTTGGTGCTTTATTTTTTTCGCCAAAGAATGATTTAGTAATCTTGTATTGCTTCTTTTGTTGCTTTCATAAAAGTTGATAGTGTAATGTTGATGTGGTATCTTTTCACAATTTGATGTTGAGCCTCCAAATGATTGAAGTTGAGGAAACTTTAAAGTGGATTATAGGCTTTGGGTATGGTTAAACTATTCCTTCTAGATTATGATAAAAGGTTTGGGCATTAAAATAGGGATACCCAGTATTTGTTCAACATGTGAAGATTTGAGTAGGATGATTTAGTATTGTATATATTGACCTTCCCCTCTGTTATGTACCTAAGTGTGATCATCATCTTCTTTCGTTACTATAAATTTGTTAATGGTGTTTCTAATTTGTTGAATAAATGATGAATCCTGCAAGTGAATGTCTTAATCACATTTGACTTTCTAGAGGTTAGGTAGAGTGTTGAAAATACCAAAAATAATAAAAAAGAGTTTTTCTTTTTCCTGGTGTATGGTTTACCTGCTAAAATGGCATATTGAATATCAAGTGAGATCTAAATCATCCCATATATGATGAAGTCATTATGTATTGAAGAGAAAAGTTGAAGTATGACCATGAAAAGTTTGTTTTCAACTGTATATTGGATACCTTTGGAGTATGCGAGCTGTTGCTCAAGATAGGTTTTCTAGATTTAGGGAGTCTCTATATCTAAGCATTCTATTGAATTCGTATACTTTTAAAATAACGATGCTATACATTTGCTTTTTTTGAGACTTGAGTGTATCCTATTACAAGTATTTTTCACTAACATTTATAAATGAAAAGGAACTTCCAAACATGATTGCATGCCTTAGAACTTATACAAGATCCATGGCACGCCCTTGGAAATGAGTATCTTTTATTGTAGGTTGAATGATTTTGGAACAATAAGAGGCAATAGTAGAATCAATAATAGATTAATTTTTCTTCGACAATTTTTTGAGGCTGTACCATAAATGGTCACGCATCATGGGGGAAGAGTAATCAACTTCCTCATATCAATTTGCTTCTCTAATGCTGAATAGCCTGTTATATATTTTATATGATGAAATAGTTTGCGTACACTTTGGTTTATATTTCGCCTCATTTGATGTGATTTGTTTTCTTTATTTTTGCTCTATTACTTAGAATATGTGCAAAGATTTCATGCCAGCATTTGACATTTTCTTGTATTTATAAATTTCTGCAGAGTCAGATATAATATCATATTAAGTAGTCTGTTTGGTCATATGGTATTTTTCCAATGAGTTCGTCTATTTATACACCAAATGGGATTTGTGTACTTTTTTCCCCACTCATTGAATTTCATGTCGAGCTTGTGGGTCTACTGCCATATGAGTGTCGAATTGCAAGTAAATTTTGCTGTTGTGTGTTACAGCTTGCCTGCAAGAACTTGGGTCTTGAGGAAGGCATGCTGGTGTGAGTGCAGTCTTGGATCATGATCCCAGGGGATTTGGTTTTTGTATTATGGTTAATATAATAATGGGAAATGCAACTATCGTTATTTTGAGTGGTATGGGAAATCTTCAGATGCGTCATTTTGCTGGAAAGCCATTTTTATTTGTACCTTCGGGGATGTTGGGGAACTTAATAAAATGGTTTGTTATAAAGTGGGAAAAACAAATATTGCATTGTACAAGCAGTTTTCTCTCGAGGGTAATTGAGATGCAACATGGTCTCTGAGTGGTTTGGATTCCACCATTACCAATTGCAATAGTAATCTTGATTTTAAGCAATAAGGGACAACGAGGCTGGTATGTTTGGGGTGTGATCAAGTGTGTAGGCTTCCTTTCGACACCTTGCATTTTTGCAGCTAGCTGATTGGTATTTGGCTCAGGTTCTGGTTTTTTGCAGTTTTTAGTTGGAGGTAAATTCTAGAAGGTGTTTGGATTTGTGTTGGAATTGTTGTTGCGAGAATCAGTGGCTTGATTGGGGTTTTCAGTATTTTAATTTACTGTTCGACATCTGGATGGTTGAATCGGGTTGAGTTGAATGGTTCTTAGTAGCTATTAAGGAATTCTACTTATCAATGTTATTGTCTCATTTTTCTAGTCTCTGTTGTGCTGTTTAGGTTTTTGGTTTAATGGTGATTTTTTAGTCCGCGAAGTTGCTGCATACCTCTTTAAAATCTTGGGTGATGGTCTCCACTGGGTTCTGATTTCCAATTTGCTTTCATTGGCTGTATGGGGCAAGTATTAACTGGTGGCAGATTGGACATAACAAAGTACTCTTTTGTGTTCAGGCAGGTCTTTATGGGTTCAGTCCACCTTGCTGCTTTGAGCTATGGGTTAATGTGGTTGTGGGGAATATATAATGTACGGACCATTTCTGAAGATAACTGGATTAAATTGGTAGCTACTAAATTTTGTGAATTATTTGGCCACTGGTGTCTTCTACTGGTGGAGTGCTTGTTGGTCCTGCTGCTCCTATTGAAGCATGTTTTGACTGAGGTTCTTGGGACGTATGTGTGGTTGGGTTATGGTGGTTGGATATTTATTATGTTAAGATTATATCAATATTCTCTTTATCGGCTGGCTTCAGATATTGACAAATTTTCATTCCCATTGCTATTGTGACATTATGGCTACTCCTGATAATATGATTGGGTGTTGACAGTTCAGTGCTTAGGCTAGAAACATATCTTTAAGGATGCTGTTGGTGATGCAATAGCTGGGCATGACATGTTAAATTAGGAACACTGGACTTGTCTTGTTTTCATATATGGATTGTGGTGATTTCAAGTAACTGGTTTTAGTTATGTCCTGCTCCAGTTGTATTCAATGTAGCACGGGCTATCATTCTGAGAGATAACAACAGACCACTATCATGCAAATGCCTTACTCTCCCACGCTTGATATCTACTTTAATACCACTTTTAATTGGGAGATGCCTTGACTGATGAGTGATGTCATTGCAATTTTGTTGAATTGGTTATTTCACAGTTTTTGGGTCAAGTCTGCGGCTAGCATTACTACTTTGCACTAACAAAATTCTCCTTTGTTTTTGGGGATTGCTCATCTTTAGACTTCGCTGGCTTTTTTCCAGGATATAGACTTCGTGCAGGTTCTGGTTCTCCAGTACGTCGTAGGGATGCAGATCGCCGATACAGTTCTGATTTTGATAATTCAGGTGGTCCACCTCGAGGTCGTGATTTTAGCAATGGGAGGGATCGTAGTAGGTTTCGAGATTCTTCTCCCCCTATGCTCGGGGAAGAGGTGGTGGCAGACCAATTGGCAGAGGTTTTGATGGGCCTGGATTTGGTCCAGGGCCTCTTAGAGGGGAGGGCATTAGTAGGAATAATCCAAATGTACGCCCAAGGGAAGGCGACTGGATCTGCTCTGATCCTTCGTAAGTTTGTACTTGTATTTCTTTTATTGTATGGTGACAAAAGAAAAGGTTTTACTTTTTAACATTTGATTTTGTTTTAGCATGTATCTTATGATACCATGAGATGTAGTGTCTTCAAATCTTATGTCATCTTTTTCCTGTCTTAGATGTGGCAACCTGAACTTTGCAAGGAGAGAGTACTGTAACAACTGCAAGAGACCTCGCTATAGACCTGGGGGAAGTCCTCGACGGGGGTATCCTGGCCCTCCGCCTCCACATGCTCCTCCAAGACGCTTTCCTGGTCCTCCATTGGATCTTTCTCCGGGCAGGACCATGAATGGCTACAGGTCTCCTCCTCGAGGTTGGGCTAGAGACGGACCTAGAGATTTTGGGCTTGGTGGTCCTCTACCTCCCAGGCAAGGAGGCAGGTTTTCTGACCATGATATGCGGAGAGATCGGTCTGATTATCCGGATGATGAGTACAGGGGGAGGAACAAATTCGATAGGCCTATGCCCATGGATTGGGGTCACAAAGACCGTGGAAGGGATGGCCTTTTCAATGAAAGGAAAGGGTTTGAGAGGCGGCCACCCTCTCCACCTCTACCTCCACCTTCACTTCCTCAACGTGGCAGATGGGGACGTGATGGGAGAGATAGGAGCAGATCACCAATTAGGGGAGCCCTGCCACCGAAAGAGTTTCGTCAGGATATGTACATGGACCGGGGGCGAGATGATCGGCATCCTGTTGGGCGAGACAGAATGAGACATGTGTATTAACAGAAATGAGGCTATGGAGTTTGCGTGGTTCTTCGTGGTATAGTAGTAATTGTGTTCTTTGTTGGGTGAGGATGGATGTTATGCCCCAGCTCTGAATTTAATAGCGTTTTCTGACTCCTCTCAACATTGTATGATTTTTGTTTATTAATTTTGTCTGGAAGTTTCTTTTAGTTATGGTGCGTTAATGTGGCTCTTCAATTCATCTTTTTTTTTTTTTTTTTTTTTGAAAAAAATAAAAATAAAAACTTGGAACCAGTACTATTGTATGTACAGTCGCAGTATCACTTGCGGCATTGAAATCAATTTTTTGCTGCTCTTGGATGGTTTCTGTGAAAAATGCACTTTAGTCACAATTTGGCGTGTCAGCAGTGTTGCAATTACTCATCATGATTAACTACTGTGATTATCAAGAATGCATGATGGTTACTGCTTATTTTGCTTTGTTTTTGGTGTGAATGGAAGGTTTCAGAACCCTAATTTTGCCGCATCTATTATTTGCAAAATTCTTCAGTGTCTGCTGTCTGGTACTGAGTCGCGCCTCGTAGTTAGCACTTAGCGCTGCTGCTCTCTAGCTAGTCAATATTCGTGTCTTAACTTCGGTCATAAGGGAGCTGCGTTATTTAAATTGATATTTCTCCCCCTAAAAAAATAAAAAAAAAACCAGAGAAGCCTGTTTCAAATCGAGTATTAGGTTTGCACATAATCCTCCCTTTTTACAATCTTTGCAATAGTCGTCAGTCGTTCCCAAATCTTATGGGTAATCCCTTTTCAATTCCAATTTGAAAGTCACGGGCATGCCTTTTGCAAGACTGTTGTCCAACATGCTGTTTATTTTTAAATGTTGATATGACCTGCGGATTATCATTCGATAGAGCAATATTTATTAACTAGGTTCCTTTTGCTTTGATTTATGGTTATCCTCCTAATCAAGAATTTGAGTAGTAAAAACAAAACTAAGTGTTGAGTTTATCTTATGCTGATATTATCTTTAAAAAAAAAAAATGCTGGGGAAGTTTTTATGTTGTCTGTAAAATGGTAGAACACTTGCTAAATTATTTTGTTAATGAGGTTCCTATTTTTGCTGATAGCATCAGACAATATCTTCACACACACACACGCGCGCGTGTGTATATAAATATTTGCACGTTTTTGTTACAATCACGTGACCTTATTCCTGCGTGTCTAGAATAGATCTTGTCCGTCCATCAGTACTTACCTTGTAGATCTCAACGTTACTTTGAGAAAATCTATAACCAAATCTAAACATCGTAAAACTTCAACTTACCTCCAACTCTTTACTCCAAGTCAACAACCTCTTTAGCGCCAATTTTATTTTATTTGCAACGGAGCAAAAGAACTAAACAACCCGTTAAAAAGGTTCCCCCGTCTTTTTTACCCTACCCCTTGTAATTCAACCATCCAATCACTTATTGCCAACTCACTTTTTCCCTACGTGGCACGAATAAAATGGTTTAGAACCTATAAATTATTCACATCCTGCACCATAGCGTACCCTGTACTATTAAGTCAATTCAACTCTCACCATTCACGTGGAAATTTTATATTTTAAATAATGGTGAAAATTATACTGTATCCTCGTACAGTAGATTTTTAGTCATTTTAATTTTGATGCAAATTAAATGTTGTATTAAAAAAATTGAAACACACCAGTCCTTCTATTATCCAATTTCTTTAAATTGACCAAATTTGTTAGATCGATTAACGTCTATTTACTCATATGATATAAAAAAAAAATTAAAATTAGATAATTTTTTTTAAAATTAAAATAAATATATAAAAAACTTAACTAAACCTATATGTTTAAAAAGTTATGTTTTTTTAATCATTTTTAGACAATAATGAATTATATATATATATATATATATATATATATATATATATATATATATATATATATATGTTTACAAAATTAGGGTTTTTTTTATATATTTTTATCTTTTTTTAATAATAGTTAATTATTTTTTAATATTAAAAAGAACAACTAAGTAAACCAGTGTGTTTACAAATATAGGTTTTTTTAAAATATATTTTTATATCATTTTTAGATAAATTATTAATTATTTTTTACTTTCAAAAAATAATTATCAAATGAAATTATATGTTTAGACATGTGTTTACATGTATCTTCATATTAATGAATAAAGCTTAGTCAATTACTAACTAACTAACGGAGTTTGGTCAATTTAATCAAATAGAGAAATGAAAGGAGCGATATGTTCTAACTTTCTCAGTATAAAATTTGATTTGTATTACTGGGGTTAAAAAGAAAGATAGTATGCGGGTCCCGGATGATTTCATCCCTTAAATAATCAAACGGTGAAACAGTGATTCCTGATTCTCTTTCTATGAATTATGACCGTCAGATCATAGAATTTAAGAAAAACCGTCAGATTTGAAATAAAACGGAAATCCAACCATTAAATAAAGAAGAAAAATTGAATTTCAAAATCACTTGAGAGAGGGGAGGAGAGACACACAAAGGAAGAAGAAGAAAAACAAGAAGAAGCAAACCAAAACCAAAAACCAAAGCGGAAATCCCCTCTTTTTGCTAACCTAATATTGAGCTGTTTTTTTTTTTTTTTTCACACACAAGACCACGCCTTTTTGTTTGTCTCTAGCCTCTCTCTCTTCGTTTTTGGATCAAAGTTATTAGGATTTTTTTTTGTGTCCAGTTTTTTTTTTCTTAAAAAAATTCTGTTTGGATTTTTTTGAGCTGATTAATCTCTCATTTGTTAAGTAATTGTGTGTTTTGGATTATTTATTTTCAGTTTTTGGATCTGAAGATTTGAGAATTGGGGAGTATTTTTCGAATTTGTGTAATTATTGAGAGGGAAAATTCTGTGGATTCATTATTTTTGTGTGTTATTATTAAAGAATCTGAAGAGGGGTGATTTAGAAATAAATTTGAAAATAGATGGGGGAAAGTGAGGGAAGCGAATTCCCTCCAAAAAAGCAGCAGCAGTCGGAGACTGCAGATTTTCCAGCCAAGAAGCTAGCCAGACAGCTCGATTTCACACAGGGTGTACTTCCTGATCACCCTCAATCGCAGCCGTCGCCGCTGCAGAACCTGCCTGTGGTGATTTCCTCGGCGGCTGCTCAGAGCCAGCCGCAGCCTCACCCACAACCGCAACCGCAACCACAGGTGGTTGCGATTCCAGTTGCCCCACAACAGCAGACGCAGCAGCAGCAAGCAGCGAGGGCTGTGTAAGTTACAATTTGTAATTTTTGAAAAATAAAAATTGCTTTGTGTGGATTTTGCTGGGTAAATTACTAAATTTGGAAGTTTTTTTTTGGGAGAATTGATGTTAAACTTATGGGAATTTTACCATTTTGTGAGTTGGATTGAAGTTTTTGTTTGAAAATTTTGATTTTGGAGTTTTTATTGTTACTGTTCTTCACTACTATTTCACTCCCTCATTCAAAATTTTCAACTTTTTTTTTACGGTTGTTGGAATACGAAATAGAACCATACAATTTTCCATTTTTGTAGAGGTACAGCTTTTAAATTTTTTCCAAAGAAACAATTTGGTTAGTTCTCTTTGATCCAGTAATAATGGGCCTGATGTTTTATTGAGGTCATCTTTGAATTTCTTTAACTAAATTAAAGAAAGGAACTCGATTATTCCCCAATGAATAATGAAAAAAGAAACAGTCTTGTAATTGAGATGCATTTAGTGAATAAGTGTCCTGAGCATGCAGTTGAGAGAATTTTTGGTAGAGACAGCTTCAGTTATTTTGCTACTTTGTCATTGTTTGAAACTAGCATTCATCAAAACACACAATTAGTTTGGCATTGTGGCGCTCTTTCAAAATTTCATCCATTTATTTCTTTCTAAGAGTCTAAGATTGCTCTATTTTTTTAACCTTATATTCAGGAAACCAGAATCACCAAAATCAAGACCAAGACCAACTTCTGAATTGAAAGATGGCACTCCAAAGAAGCAAAAACAGTGCAACTGTAAACACTCGCGGTGCTTAAAGCTGTAAGCACATCATTGCCTTTGTAATGTTTCATTGATTGGTGATGTTCGTTTGTGCTTTAGAGTCAGTGTGTTGCTATTTTCTTTTCTGATGAAATTTAAACCAAATACATCTTGTTACTACTTAATTTGGTCATTGGATTTATTTCTGACTTGCCTTTTCTATTTAAGAATTTTAAAAGTTACAGGTGTCAACTTGTTATGCAGTCTTATTTTAACCTAAAAAGAATCAATTTTGAACTCATTTTCCACTCTCATACCCAGGAAGTACATGTTTAGGGGCAACACTGGAGGTCTGGTACTACTCATTTCATGATTTATGCTTGAAATGATTTTCATACATGTAGGAATATTGCTTAGAACAACATCTAAGTAGCTTGCTTGAATCATTTTAAAAGTATGGGCCCTGCCACAGTTCAGTCACATGATACCCTCGCATTCTGTTTAATGGATTTTGGGTCTAGTATGACTTTCCTTGTTTTCTGGGAACCATTTTATGTCCATTTTTGGACTGGAGTGGCTGGTACAAAATATTTGCTGATACATAAATTTTTCATGTCTTGAGAGCAGTTATTGTGAGTGCTTTGCCTCTGGAACATACTGCGATGGGTGTAATTGTGTTAATTGTTATAACAATGTTGAAAATGAGGCTGCCAGGCGAGAAGCTGTTGAAGCAACTTTAGAGCGTAATCCAAATGCATTTAGGCCAAAAATTGCAAGCAGCCCACATGGAACACGGGATAGTCGGGTATGTTGGTTTTACCCATGTAATTTTTTTTTTCTGCTGAATGCTTTTATGAAGTTTTTTAACCTAATATTGAGTCATGTTGTTGTTGGTAATCTCTACATTTAGTTCACAAGGGAGCCTTATCATGTATAGCCATTCCTTTGTCTTTGCTTTTCCTACTTGTTGGAACTGGAGCCAAGATACACCTCTGTATCTCTTTTCCATTTTTTGATGTAATTTAAATGAGAAATTTTGTGTCTGAAGCTATAGTTAGATTGTAGGTTTTGAGTGATGATTGTCTTTTTTACCTTGCTTTGTGCATGAAAGTGTTACACTACCTGAGTTGTGACATATAATTTGCAATAATAAAAAATTGATATTCCTTTTATCATTTCCCTTTTGCCTTGAATGACATTATCAGTATGTAATTGCCAAATAATTAACTCTCGGATAGTGGAATCAGATTCAGGGGTTCATTTTTTGACATTAGACCAGAGGACTCTTATAATCTGATTCTTTTTGTTTCCATTCTTTCATTCAATGGATGACTTATTCTTTATTTTGTTATTCTCTTCATTTTGTTATTGATATAACTTTCGCATATCAAAATATTCAGTAGATATCAAACCTTTTTCCTATGCATTTATCACTGAAATGAATCCTCATATGTCGAACTTTTTAATGTAGAGTTTGTTTTCATTTATGTGAAATTTATTCATTAAGAAAATTACACAACACCGTTATGATAGCTGCATAGGTAAAAATCCATTGCTTGCTGCTTGTTACCTGTTACTGTTGAATTTAAAGGAAGTACCTTCGCTTAGAATTCACTTGAGTGTTTTTATGAGATACATTCTCTGGTGTTGTTGACTATCACATGAAATGGTTGGAAACAATTGCAGGAAGAGACTGGGGAAGGATTGGTGTTTGTAAAGCACAATAAGGGATGTCACTGCAAGAAATCTGGATGTCTCAAAAAGTACTGTGAATGTTTCCAGGCCAACATTCTTTGTTCTGAAAATTGCAAATGCATGGACTGCAAGAATTTTGAAGGAAGTGAAGAGAGACAGGCTCTCTTTCATGGTGACCATGGCAACAACATCGCATATATTCAACAGGCTGCAAATGCTGCAATAACTGGGGCTATTGGATCTTCTGGCTATGCTTCCCCTCCAGTATCTAAGAAGAGAAAAGGTCAGGATCTTTTCTTTGGGCAGACAGTCAAGGATCCATCATTTCACAGGCTTGGACATTTCCAACCGGTAAATTCTTAGCATATTTGGTTAATTCAGCATTGAAGAGAATTTTTTGCCACAACTATGATATTGGAAAAGTTACCTGATCTGAGCTGTATACAATTTGATGCATAAAATAAACTGTTAGTTTATAGAGTCAAATTGGGAAGAAGAAGAAAGATAAAACCATGAAATGTGCTTCTTTGTTATAGTCTTCTGTCTCTTTGAGTTGCGGTTCAAATTTGCAAAATAAATCCTTATTGCTGTTTGTTGGAACCTTTGATTTATTATCTAATCATCATATTTGGGTACGGGTTTCATAATTTTTGTGTTCATCAGGCTGGCCATATCAGGCCTGTGGCAGCCTCCTCCTCGTTGCCTTCCAATCCCGTTGCTCGTGCCTGTAATGCTACTACATTGGGCCCTTCAAAAATCACATACAGGTATAGCGACTGTCTTCATGAAAACATTACCAATATTCTTGTTCGCAAAACTAACCTTCATGTTATGATTGCAGGTCTCTTTTGGCAGACATTATCCAACCACAAGACTTAAAAGAACTTTGCTCAGTTTTGGTGGTTCTGTCAGGAGAAGCTGCCAGGACGCTTTCAGGTATAACAATGGCAGATTTTTTTTTCTTTATCAAAATCCAACAACAGATTTTCATTTCTTGAAAAAAAAATAACTGGTACAAAAAAGATACAAAGTCATTGCAAATCCTCCAAAAGAACAGTATAAATACTTAGAAGAGAAAAATTCGGCAATATTTGTATCTCGATTCACTTGCTTAGTCATGATGTGAGCTGTTTTGTTTCCAGTTCTATAAACATGGTAGAACCCCGGAACACCAACCTGCTGCTTGAGATGTAAGATGTCAAAAACTATGGGCTCTATATCCCATGAGACTGGTCCATCGTGATCAATTTCCTTTATGAGCCCCAAACAATCGAACTCAATCACTACATTATGCCAACTTTTTTTGTTTTTAACCAGGAAAGAGCTTCCTTAGCTACTGAAGCCTCCATAATCTTTGGATTAGAAACATACTTGCAAAAAATAGCTTTACAGGCTACAACAGAGCCTTGACTATCACACAAAACCATTCTCAAACCACCACTGTGTGCCTGATTATTCTAGGAGGCATCCACATTACACTTGGAAAAACCTTGAGCAGGAACACACCAACTCCTGATTGCAGAAACAGCCAAAGTAGAACTAGCTGATCTCTGGTTAGGCAAGTTATCACTCACAGCTTCAACATATTCAAGCAACTGGTTCAGAATGTTTAAGCACAACATGTCCTTGTATGCTTCATATTGCATCTGTTCATTTGCATGCCTGAATGGCTGCCTATGACCATATTTCTTTTATTTGAGTATCAGGATAGCTCAAATGGTTTTCATGCTTTATTTATTAGAAATCTTGATTATATTTTCCAACTGCTGACTTGTTCCAACAAGTGTATGCCTTAGTTTGGCTGATATTTATTATGTGAAGAATGTAGACCATTTGGATGATTGAGTTTGGAGATGCTATTTACTTACATGCGTTATTTGAAAGAAGGTTAATTGGACAAGGAACAGGTTTCTTGATGATTCCAAACCTCCCTTAACTGTAGCAGTCACGGGGACCTGTACTGTGTATGTACATTGCTCGAATTGTGGAACTAGTGAAAGCATTTTATCATTGTGAGGCTTATGTGAAGTTTTAGATGAATTATTTAGTCATTCGAAAAATATCATTTCGATATAGATTTCGGCACTCAATATATGTTTCCTTCTTTATGAAGCATTGAGAGTCCCTGATTTGGGTTGATGTCTAATCAAGCTGGCCTGATAAGAGAGGATGCTTACTAGGTTTTGAAAGATGGTGTTTGCTTCTTTGGGAAGAGGAAAGGAAATTCATTATGAGATTGATAGTCCCACCAAACTGAGGAATTTGGAGATAGTCCTACTCTTCAGCATTTAAACATAAAGCGACTGCTCTTTATTTCTTAAGAAGATGAGAAAAAAAGAAAAAGAAAAAGAAAAATAGCAATGCTTCATGCTTTCATCTTTCTGAGCCTTCTCTAGCAAGTCAGTGGTAGAGCTTCCCTGATCATGCTCTCTTTAAAGCTGGAGCCCCTATTCTCATACAGCTTGTTCCACTATCCACTTGCAACAAAAGATTATCTTCCATGTCTGCTTTCCACTTGATACTCCATAATAGTCCATATAATAAGTGTTCCATTCCCATGCTGCATCCCTTCTTGGCCTCCGTGAGATTCTTGTGGCCATGCACGTCTGCACTTGTTTGTCTGCTTTCCACTCCATACTCTATATAATGAATTTTCTTTCCCATCTAATATTCTGTCCTTTCCAACCAGCTAGTTTCTTCTGAATGCCTATTTTCAAAACTGATTAGATTATCTGTGATTTCTGTGTCCAGTTTGGTTTGCTACTGTTTATCTTTTTCAGCTGACTATGTTCTCAGGGTTAGCTTGTGGTATATAAACCTCTATGTCTGAGATTTTCAAGAAGTTGGTTTGCTAAAGGAAGAGGGGTTGGGACTTGATGTGATTTATCACATTTCCTCCACCATGTGAAAAGCAGTCAGCTTCATTTTTGTTACTATTTGCAATTTTTTTTATGGTAAACCAAGTACCACTAACTAAGTAGATAGATTAAGTGCAACTAGTTATCCATTGTAAATATGTTTATGCTCTGTAGCCTTTTTGTTTCTCAAAAAATAAAGAGTGAACTGAACAGTGACAAAGAGGTGTTCCTTTAGAATGTTTACATGTTAAGAAACATGAAATGTGAATGCTACAACCAATATCTCACGAATGAGCTTTTCTTTAAAATCTTTTTATGTCCAGACCAAAGAAATTCAACGGAAATGCGAGTAGAAGATCAAAGAGAAACTTCGCTTGCTTCATCTACTCAAGAAAGGTTGCAGAGCCAGAAGGAATCTGATGCTGATAAAATTGTTGCTAATGATTGTTCAAGTGCAAATCATTCTGATAAAGTAGGTCCTGATGATTCCAGCTCAGATGGTGCTGATATGCCAAAAGGAAGGCCAATGTCTCCTGGGACTTTGGCATTGATGTGTGACGAACAAGATACAATGTTTATGGCTGCTGCTTCCCCCAATGGGTTGATGGGCCATGGCTGCAACACTTCTTCGCAGGTGTCTTGTGGACAAGGCATGACAGAGGCTCATGCAGAGCAAGAAAGAATTGTTTTAACGAAGTTTCGAGATTGCCTTAATAGGCTCATTACATTTGGGGAAATAAAAGGCAAGTTTCTCTCTCCTTTCTCTAATTTTTTATACATTAATGGCTCTAGAAAAGGGAAATGCCAGGTCTAGTATTTTTTTATGATAAACTCAACTTTAATGACAAAAAGCTGGTATATCCTAATGCATATTGCCAATTTGCCAATGCTATCAAACTTTTTCTCTAAAATAAGCATTGCTTTTTAATTCTTATTGTTACTTTGTTTAATTGAAAATATACTGCCTTAATGGAAGTTACTGGTAGTTGTTTTCTTATATTGTACAATAGACAAATGGCCTCCTTGCAATCAGAAAGTTGCATTTACTAGAATTTCTTTCAGCACATTAGGAGGCGCATTTGGCCTAGGGTTACACAACGAGAAATAGCCCTCTTTCACCCAATAAACCATACACATGTTCTCCATTGGCTTTGAAGTTTGAACTCTGGACCTCCATAGTTGGAATCGGAAGACCAAACCTTTAGGGTGTACTCTTGTGGATGTGCAATTATCTACATTCAACTACTGTATTACATATGCCACTTGTTATGTAGCTTGCCTTTTTTCGTTCAGTCAATTGTGATGGTTTGAACTTTCTGATTGCAAGGGCTGTCTTTAGCTGCTCCACTGTAACTGTAAGGTGGCATGGATTTCAGATTCATAGTTGTCAAGATCTAAGCTATTCTGATTAGTGAATCATATCCTTTAATTGCTTCAAATATCGTGAAATAATTTCATGATTTAAATTTCAACAGAAACGAAGTGTTCATCATTAGCCAGAACTGAGTTGGGGAATCAAAATGACCCACTCAGCAATGGTATAGCGAATACCAGAACTGGAACGGGGAGTCAACAGGTACCCTTTAGCAATGGGGTTGTTAAAGTTGTTCCACCAACTGCAAAACCACCCCAGATGGTTACTTCTATAGTTGCCACCTCTAGCAGTGATATTTAAAAAATTCCAGCCCTCTCACAAAATGGAGACAACAAACTGAAGTCTCGAAAAGAAATGTAAAGGAGATTTTAGCTTTGAAGGTATGCGACAGAACTTGTGCAATCCTACTACAATGCTCATTCTGGCCTCGATGCTGATGCAGTCTCTAGGTAGCATCGGGCCTCGTTGTTGGAACTGACCTGGATTGGATTTATTGCCCACGTAACTACTATATTACATAGTAGTGTTTCTGCTTCAACCATAATTCAACTCCAAGTGGTGTAAATTGCTGAGCCTGACAAATGCACAGGATATGGTTTATATGATTACTTGCAGAGTTACCATCATAGATTGTATCTTTAGACACTAGGAATTTTCTTGTTCTATTCACATTGTTAAAAACGAAGAGCAAATTTATGATTTTTCATGGAATATGAAATTTCAAGTTTGATCCTGACAAATGCACAGGATATGGTTTATATGATTACTTGCAGAGTTACCATCATAGATTGTATCTTTAGACACTAGGAATTTATGATCCTGACAAATTCACATAATTCAACTCCAAGTGGTGTAAATTGCTGAGCCTGACAAATGCACAGGATATGGTTTATATGATTACTTGCAGAGTTACCATCATAGATTGTATCTTTAGACACTAGGAATTTTCTTGTTCTATTCACATTGTTAAAAACGAAGAGCAAATTTATGATTTTTCATGGAATATGAAATTTCAAGTTTGATCCTTGAACTACCTGCAGAAATTCTTTTACCTTTTAGTGTAGTGATCCTTTTCCGTGTTGACTTCTTTGCAATTTCGATGCTACATTCAATATGGGTATTTTTCACTGGATGGAATTGCCTGTATATGTCAAAAAGTTAAGAAACTGTTTGCTATTGTTTTCATACTGGGTACCAAAAAACTTGAATAAATTATAAATTAGTAGTAACTTTTGTTTTAAGAAATGAATTAATGAGTCGCTCTAGTTTTAAAAATTAATTATTTTGTTTCTTAACTAGTATTAACCACAATTAATTTAATATTTTTTTATTTTATAAAAAATATATTTTTTTCTCATCAGTCTTTTTATATTTTTACTTATTTTTTATTTTTTTCTATTTATTAAAATGAAAAATCAAAATAAATAAAAAATAACAAAAAAACTAAATAATTAGTTTTTGAAACTAAATTGACTAATTAATTTGTTTCTAGAAACAAGAGGTATTAATTTATAATCTAATAAAAAACTTGATTATTTTCGGTTTTTTTTTTAATTAAAAACAAGAAAAAAAGAAGAAGCAAAACCACATCCATTTTTGTAATTTTTTGAAAACTGTCTTGTTTGGTTCTAAAGTATGTTAGTGATCCATGTGGTTTCTTAGGTTTTTGAAAAAAACAAAAACAAAAACCATTAATTTTTATGTTTATGTGTTCAAATTTGGCTTTTTAAAAATAGATGGTCAAAATGACACTACTTTATCTCTTAACTTTTTTATTACTTTTAGGCATTAAATGAAAGGTCCAGAATGAAAATACGGGAATTAAAAATTGAGGAATCAAAATGTCATTTATATTTTCATATTGTGTTTGGAATACTAATGAGAAATCGGAATGTAATTTATTTTTTTTAATATTTGATTTTTTATATAAATAAAAATAATGACTAATTTTCTTTTTTATCAAACTATAATGGTTGTAAAAATAACAAAATAAATAAATAAATAAATAAATAGTTTTTAAAAGTAAATGGACTAATTGATTCGTTTCTAGAAACAAGAGGGATTAATTTATAATTTACTCAAAAACTTGATTGTTTTCAATTTTTTTTTTTAATTACAAAAAAGAAAGGGGTTAAACCACATCCATTGTTGTAATTTTTTAAAAGCTTGTTTTGTTTGGTTTAAAGTATTTTGGCAATCCATGTGGTTTTTTAGGTTTTTGAAAAAAAGGAAAAAACGAAAAACCATTAATTTTTATGTTTATGTTTTCAAATTTGGCTTTTTCAAACTAGATGGTCAAAACGACACTACTTGATCTCTTAACTTTCAAAGTACTTTTAATAATTTTATTTTTAAACGGCGGTCGGTTGATAGCCTTATATGCCTATATTGTACGTAGATTGTTTTTCCTTTTGCGATTTTACTTTTGACAAGTGTTGGAATCAAGGAATTGATCATTAATATTGATAAGTCGTCAATTGATTCAACTAATAAATTTAAGATATGTGGTGATTGACAATATTTGAGAGCGAGAACGAAGTATTTTTGCACTCGTGTATTTGTAAAATAAGTTATTTGAGTTGTGTGAGAGACTCTAATGCTTAAGTTACTAGTCGTAAGGTAGCAAATTAACTTGAAAAGGCTCTTATAGGCTAGTCTATACCGGTTTATATGTTATTTAGCAAACATGAGGGAGATATATGGGAATGATATGTTTGGACGGTAACTTTATAACCTATTTGTAGTTTTTTTGGTGAACCATTTTGTTTGTGTTTGGAGTTGTTGGAGGAAACATAATATTTCATGAATACTCTTCTTTTTTAAGAGTTCTATTGTATGTACGGAACTTATACGTTGGTCTAGATCTCCATTTTTGGATCTCTCTTTTCTCGAGGCTTCTTTCCTTTATATAGGTAGTACTTGAAACTTCTTGCATGGTTGAAGGGGGTAGATGTGTCCCTTTCTTATATTAATGTTAATAGAGCTATAAGTATTAATGTTTTATTATCATTATAATTAATTCCGTATTGGCCTTGATGTGATTGTCATGAATGATGATCCGATTGGTGTTATCATTAAAAATTCTTCATTTAATATTTTTGTCTTCAAATAATAATGAAGAAAAGCAATATTTTTTTATCTATAAGCTGCGGCGCCTTGAGGTAAGAGTATTCCAAAATCCTTTTCTTTTAGGGAGGCGAGAATTGATACCTTTTGGATGTTGCGGGCTCATTTTATAGGCTAGTTTCCCTTGGCAAATTGTACATTTGGTGGAACAACGAGGGTTGTTGCTAGTGACGAGAGGATGGTACGGATGATTATAACGAGTAGGATCTCTTAGATGTGTGGATGAAAAAAATAGAGTATTTTTTAGGATTTGCCTTATTGGAGTACAAATCTCGTTTACCTTAATATATAAACATAAAGTGAGATCTGTTTTCTTTGAGAATGGAAAAAATTCTCTAAACCGTTCATGAAAGTAGGGATCAAACACAAAATTGTAACGTGCTAATTTTTGAAACTTATTGTAGAGTATTTAGATATAATGTGTGTGATACAATAGTTGTTGATATGAGAGTGTCTTCACCAAATCATGTAGCTGAAAGTTCCAAGGAGGAATTGAAGATCAAGTCGAATGCCTACGAGCAATAGGACTACAATCCCTTTTTTATGATGTTTATTTTTATGTTAGAATATTTTAATTCATCCTTGGTGGATTTTGATTATTATTTAATTTGAATTTTTATTTTAGGACCATATAGTAGCTTGTGTTTAGAGGCCCAAAATTTAGGCATGGTTGAAACTTAGTAACCCTAGTTATATAAGGGTTGTTTCGGCATTTGTCAAACAACTTTGTTTTGATATTGAAATAGAGAGATTTTTTCTTATAAATTAAATCATCATTCTTGTGTAATACGGAAAAGTTTTTATCCTTTGCACTGATCATCTAAGGTGGCGACATGATCGTTCGTGTTGAAGAATCAAGATGGTGTATATATATCTTTACTTTCTAAACATATGTATCCTGGATCTAAGTTTATTTTTACAAATAGGACTGATTCCATCTATCTTCTATTTGAAACTTGATTTACATTGAATTTATTTTAAAGAGTTTTGGCTCTTTTAGTTTTGCACAAAACTAGAACTAGCTCTTTGTTGTGTTGGGCTAGAAAGGTGCGGCTATATTGAAAATAAGAGGCTAGGGTTCTTTGTTTAATCTTAATTTTTTATCATACCTTTATTTATATGTTTATTGGGTGTAATTAAAATTACATAATATTCGGCATGTATAGCTAAGGTTTCAAGTTTTGTTTGTGTTTATGGACATAATTTTCACAACTTGAAATAAGGACTTAGGAGTATCCGATTGGTACGAGTTTTTTATTACAACTTCATCCGGGTCTCTATTAGGTTGTTTAAAATCTCATATAATTTCGATAAGATTCGGTCTACTTTCTAGTTGCCATAAAATTTTACGTTTTGTTGGATTGTTGGGTTGGGGGATTGTGTGAGTGTATTTCAATATTTGGGGATTGTGTGTTGTGTTTTGGTGTCAAATTGATTTTGTTCGTTAGTTGAAGTTTTGGACAAGGAAGTGTCTTTTGTATTTGATTGTTTAAGTGTTGATTTGTCATGGAGTTATGGTATCATTTGTTTCTCTCAAAAACTTTAGTTCAAAACAATGTTTAATATAAATTTAATAGCAATATTATTGAAATTGAAACATTTAGTAAAGATTTAAGCAATTGATATCTTTATTATGTATTATATTTGTTTCCTTACTCGGATTCTATTGCTAATATTTTTCTCTTTTTGTCTTAAATAAGTGGATAATTATTGAAATATTTTAAAAAAAGATTAATTAATTAATTATCCTTTTCAAAACGAGTGTTAGTTACTTGTTTGAAACGAGTATCTTGTATTGTTCTATCATTATGTTGCTTTAAAAAGCGAGTGGCTATCATATCATAATGTTGCTTTAAAAAACAACGGGAGGAAAACAAACAAAAAACAAATGTTTCTTACCATCTGTTTTTTTTTTTTTAATTCAAGCATTTATTTCTTTTTTTGGCTCATCTCACATGCCTATAAATAATATCTTTCTTCTTATCATTTGTACACAACAACTTGATATACTCTAGAAAAAAATATATAGTAGCAATTTTTTTTTTTTTTTTATAATTTCTTTTACGTTCCATAGTGAAGAGTAGTAATTCTTTGTTGTTTTTTCTTCTTCTTCTCTAGTCTCCTACTAAAAGGCTATATAATTTTTATTAGTTTCTTTTTCTTTCTTTTTTTTTTTTTGTTTTTGTTTTTTTTTGTTTTTTTGGTAAGAGTGGTACTTTATATTTTATTTTGAGTTTGAGTCTCATAAGTAATGCAAATTTATTATGACAAGACAAAGTGCCTCAACTTGTTGTATCTCCGAGACGACATACAACATATATTTTAATCCGTTGCATCGGAAATTTTTTACAAATTGTGCGTATCTTCTAAAAAAAGTAATTTGATTGTATTTCGAGATAATCACTTAAAAAATTATGATAAAACTATTTTTTATGTTTTTTTGTTCATGATATTTTCAAATAATATCCTTACGTTTTTAGAGATTTTTATATCTTATTTTTATATAAATAAGATGTAAAACCTTTACCCAACAATTTTATCTATATTTCCATGGTATCTTCAGTATTAGAAAACAATTTAGATTATGTTGAAAATTCTGTTTAATATGAAAAGATAAAATCCATAAACGCACCCTTATGCTTATATTCTCCCTTGACTTTTATAGTAATTTCTCAACAGTTAAAAATATATCAAAATTTATAAATATTTTGATTTTCCATTCAAAACTTGTTTTGCACTCCTAAATATTAAGAAGGAAGCAATTAAAGAATATTTTACAAAGAAATAAACAAGTGTTTAGAGAAAAAAAAATATCCTTAAATTTTTACACATTTTTAGCTATTTAGAAAGTTAAAAAATCAATTATGAACTTCTACTATTAGAAGAACCATTAAAAAAATATATAGTTGGAAAAAAAAATCTAAAATTAAAAGTTAAAATGAAAAATGAAAAATGAAAAATTTTCAAATGAATTAAAATTCAAAAAAAGTTTGGACATTTAACCTCTCCTTATTTACTTCATATGTTAAACGTATAAATAACAACGTGAATCATTATGTATCATTTGACATTTAATTGTGAAATTATAATATTTTGTTTAGCGAGGCCATCTTGGTAGTTCAAATATAAAAAGTGATATTATTTGAAGATTCAAAATGGAGGCATATGAAATTCTTACACATTGGCTTCGTCCATTAGCCCTTCCAATAAATAAGCAATCGGGTTTGAAACTTTTAATGATTTTTTTTTTTTGGCCATTTAAACATGCGCGTCCATGATGAAAAATTAAGAACAAAAATTTTTACTATACCATTCATAAGGTTTGTCCGTACAAACGGAACATAGTCGATCACTTAATTTAGCCATCCCACAGGAAAAGGTTGACTAACTGAAACAGAACGAAAAATTTTCTTAAAATAAATTCTTATTGCCTTCGGCATTTCTGCTCGCAACTATAGAAATAACAGTAAATTTATTACACTGCATAAAATTATGTTTGACGACTGGGTCTGGATTAACCACTCAACATAGAACTGTAGCCTACATGCGCGACCTTGACCCTGACCCTGACCCTGAAGATGATGAAGCAGGTGCACTCTGCAGGGGAAAACAGAAGGATGTCAGCAGTCCGCGGCGAATACTGTCGTATACCTCCATAGTAAGTAGTTTTGGCACACTAGTTAATAAAATATTTATTCTTTACACTACTAGATAAATAAATGCATAAATGAAGTGGTGCAAAGAAGAAATGAACAGTCACAAGGGGAAAATGGTTTAATGATCAACTATATAGACAGCAGAGAAACTAAGTTTCTAATTTACATAATTCCTACGTACAAGGGAAAATTAGTCCCCCAAAACGAAAAAGATAAAAAAAGAAAAGAAAAAGACAAGGCTCTTACCAGAGGTATGCCTCTTGTTGCCCTTTCTTCCAAAAACCTTGATGGTTTGTAGATATCACCAAATCTTTGAGACCATTTCTTCAGGCTATCATATACATGTTTAGGCCCCACCAAATCAGCCCAAAAGACGATGCCACCACTGCCACATAAGAACACTTGCCATGAGATATAAGTACCAAGTTCATCCAGAAAAGAAATATGAGCAGCCGGTGGATTATTTGCATGTGGATTCTAAAAAATACTAGGAGAGAACTTAAATGGTGCAGTTATTTGAAGGGAAAGCAGGAAAAAGTGCACTAACATTACCAAATATAAACAACTAAGACAATTCAAACGTCTCAAAAAAAAAGAAAAGAAATGATTTTTTTATTTCTTTATTAACATTGTAATTTTCATATCTGCTGATTAGGATTCTGAGTGTTTGTAGTTGCCATCGATAGTGATTAATGTGCCAAAGAAACCAGCCTGTTTTCTTTTTGCATGTCAGAAATAAGAACTTGCAACTCACCTGCTGACTACACGGCATCACTGTAGTGCATGAGATAACAAAAGAATTTTTACATATGTGCTCAGTGGATGGGATTAGGGGCGGCGGAGGAATTAGAATTAGTAATTGGGGGATTAGCAAAAAAATGAAATAGGATGGATATGAAATGAAACAAAGGAAGGTGGCTTTCTGTTGAAAATAAACAACTGTAGGGGAGCCAAAAGCATACAATGAATCAATCCTTATGTTCAAGCGGTAAAGCAAATAAATTTCCATGTACAAAGATGCACGGCCCCCCTCAAGCATATATTCCTCCCCCCCTAGGGATGCTGTTACGGTAAGATCATTGAACAGCTAAACAAGGAGAAAAAAATTGAAATTAACAACTCACCGATAATTTGGGAAACTCATTCCAAGAACGGATGCAATGTCAAGATCTGAAGCTCGAACCACGATGCCCTCATCAAGAACACGGCATGCCTCATTCACCACTGGAAAGAGAACCATCTCCACTATCTCTTTGTCAGTGACATTTATAGGCTGTCACATAATCCAGTAAACTTACATTAGGAAGCCTTCAACTAAGCTACTGAGTGCATATTAGTGACATTGTCTCCATCATTAGTGCGCATAAGATATCATCTTAAAGCAGTACAATATTATTGAATCTCAACATACTGGCAATTTTCATTCCAAGAAAAGTACCTTTCCATTAGGCATAATATTTGCAAGCCGTCTTGACTCCTCAATAATTGGTAGCACTGATGGATCAGGTCTTGGCTTGCTTCCTTTCTCATATATGTAGTATCCTTTTCCATTATTTTTACCTGGAAATGTCAATAATGGGTATGAACCGCAAACAAAAGGATTACAAAGCAAAGCATAACCACAGCATAGATACAAATATCATTTAAATGCCTATATAAATCTATAAAATAATTTATTACCATTTCTTCCGCTTTTTATTAGAAGATCAACTAATGGAGACCGGAATGTACGATCAGGGAATGCATCAGCAAATTCTTTCCCAACTGCAAGGGCAACTCCATATCCAGATAAATCCTGAAGCCTGTAAGCGTAACCAGCAGTAGTGAAAATATTTATCATCATCCATTTAAAGTACCTAAGGTGTCCATGTGCTTGCATACATTTAAAGAGAACATATTGATGCAAAAAGTAGTCCTGATATTGGTTGGAGAACATGAATTCACTGATGTATGAATTTACAAATTCTAACCCCCTAAGGAGACTTCATTCACTACTGATATTTTCTAAAAATGAAGAACAGTGGTATTATTTTCTAAATTTTAAACTCAAATCAATTGGTTTCATAGTTGATAAAGATTTGCATGAATCCCTCTCTTCTTAGGTTTGAAATTTTTTAACCCATTAAACAATCAGATTTTTGGAAGAGTTGGTACATTAATGCAATTATTTCAGTGAAAAAAAACACACGTTTTAAATCATCCTTAACAAAAGTGTTGCAAATGAAGACTGTGATGTTAAAGGATAAAAATATTACTGGAAAGGACCCATCGGGAGGCCAAAGCTGCTGATCAGCCTGTCAATTCTGAACAAGTCCACACCTAAATGAACCAAAAGCTGTGCGCTTTGGGTATACGGGAAGAATGCTCGATTGACTGCAAAACCAGTGCAGTTACCCACGACAACTGGAACTTTCTTTATGATTTTCCCAACTGTCATGAGATCGAGAATTGCTTGGGCAGAAGTCTTCTCAGTCCGTACAATCTCCAGAAGAGGCATTATGTGAGCAGGACTGTCCATACACAAAGGCAAATAAGTCTTTTTAAGGAAAAAAATAAAAAAGACGAAAAACCCTTCACATGGTTTCTATTGATTTCTGGATTATTAACATAATAATAAAATGTGACAGAAGCAAAATGATTCTAACCTGAAAAAGTGTGCACCAATAATGCGATCTTGAGAGCTGGTCTTTTCTCCAACTAAGTTGAGATCAATGGTAGATGTATTTGTTGCTAGAATGCAGTCAGGAGGGCAGACGTTTTCGATCTCACTAAAAATTTTTTGTTTAAGAGGAACGCTTTCAATAACCGCCTGCAAATCGAAGAAGCAATTTCAAATGACTTGTAAAGAGACCATAACTATGGTAATCCATCTCAATGTCATTGAATAGTAAGATACTGAGGCGGATCAATTTGCGACTAAACACAATCCCTACATGACCGATCAAATATAAAGCAAGCCATCACCCCATTCCACAGGCAGAATCCAAAAGATAAGCAAAATACCAAGATTTTGTGTCGGTAAGAGATGCAAGCTCACTCACCTCTATGACCATGTCCACATCTTTGAAGTCTGAGTAGTCCAATGCACCTTTGAGCATCGAGAGGGCTTTATCTGCTTCATCCTGTGTCAAGTTTCCTCTTGTTACTAAGCTTCGAACATTTGCTGTCAGGTGAAATAACCAGTCATGAATTTTTTTACCATAGAAAACAAAAATGGCAATAGCATATATCAGAATTAGTTTTCATATTCTAGAAAACATTTGACCAAACTCTTCTCTAAGATTCTGTTTGAAGAGGAATTCATTAGGGAAAAGATTTCTACTCTCATCTTTTAGCAAAACACGTGGAGATAAAATATCTGAGTGAGACCACCAAAAAAAGGGGGAAAGGACACATGATGAATATTTCACAGAAAAATTAAAACATTAGCTATATGTGAAATAAGTATGGCTACTCAGTGGTTATTCCTTGGGAGGGCCCAGTGCGGCCATGAGCCTCTCTAACCAAAGAAATTTTCCCTAGTGAATGATAGTTTGCGCCCCATAATTTATATTGTTCAATAGAACTTCTTTTTAAAAGGTATATTTTCCACATTGATAATCCTTAAGAAGTGGTTGTGTTTCGCTGCTGTGGGCACTACATGTTGCAATAAACTACTCTGTGCAGACTAATGACACATGTCCCCTTGCTTCCTTCAGCCAAATTTGCCAAACATAGCCAGAGTTGATTGCTCAAATTATATATAATCAGAAGAATTTTATGGAAAATCATATGGAAAAACTGCCATAAACAACAGATCAACTTTCCCAAAATAACAACTAATTGAAGTAAGTATTAGGATGCAGGATTGTTTTCTTAAAAACCACCCTCATTGTTGTTTATTTGAAGTCCTTCCACGATGGAGACACGATATCACTAAATCACTAGTATAATGATCAATGTCAGCCACATGTGAATACCTTGTATCATTTTTGTTCCCTTCTGAAGATATTCTGAGTTGATTTCTTTAAGAACAACGTATATGTTGCCCACAATAAGAGCAGTAGCTATGCCAGAACCCATTAGACCACCACCAATAACAGCAACTTTCTTTATATGCCGTGGTTTGAGCCCAACATCAGTGACATTAGGTATCTGTCCAGGTTAACGTTGATGAGATGAGATGAAAGAAATTGGATATACAAGTTGCTTATTTGAGCATATCAACAAATTCACCATAAGAATGAAAAAGTTAAAGAAAGAAAGAGTAAAGGAAGTAGACAAGAGAATCCTGTGACGTGAGAACAAGAAGGCAAAAATGGGAGCAAACATAAAATTCAAATGTTATGTACTTCAAGAATGTTTTTAAAGTCTATGAAAACATGTAATGTTATCTAAACTACTGAAGAACAGAGTACTGGTAAAGTTACAACTACATAAAAAATTCTTTAACCAAGCATGTGCCTTAGAATTAGTCCCAAAAGAAAGAAAAATCTACAAGTATAGTAATCCCTTAGTGGTGACTGGAAGCATCAATAGACGTCTATATACTAGCACCTAAAGTATTTCAGTCACACTCAGCTATATTGTACAATTTCATTCCTTGGCGACTTAGATTTTCCCTTTAAGAGGAGAAAACAATAAATCAAAAACCATATTTAGAAGCAAGAGAATTAAACATTTTGTAGAACAAGACAAAGAAACCAAACAGTTCAAATTGTGACTTTATGCAAAACAAATTTGAAAAATATTTTAGAGTATCCGCAAAAACCATCATATGATGAATCCATAGATATTCTGCAAATTCTTAAAATCAATAGTGTACCTTTGATGTCATACGCTGGGCAAAAAAGACATGAACAAGACCTTTCGCAGTTTCTGTCAAAACTAACTCCTTGAATACTTTTGCCTCCTGCAACATCAATTCCTTCATTAGCATAAGCACGAACAGATTGAACTCTAGAAAGGATTTTATGAAATGAAGTGTGCTTGGCAGCATAAGTACGGTACTAATAACAAAAGTCAATTATCGCACATGCGATACCTCAAACAAAAAGTAAATAAAAAGGTCCCATTCCAGAGAAAAACAGCCACAAACCACTAACAGCAAAAGCATTTTCTTTCTAGCAAGGATTATATATCTACATCTACAAACAACAAATCCCAAACTCTAAAGTACCTTTAGAACACCATTATATCCTCCATGAACAATGCCTTCCTCAATTACATCAAGACATGCATGATGCTGAGGCATATTCGGTGCAATTTTCTTGGCTTGTTGTCTAGCAGCTTTCAGTACCTCACGTGCTTCAGACAGGGAGCCAATTTTATCTGTCCTGTGAAGAGAACGAAGCCATGGTTTGCGCCTCTCTGCGATGTCTAAAGCCCATTGTCGAGATACTTTTAGCAATTCTTGAGAAGGCACGATAGCATCAATAAGACCTAGCTTCTCCCCTTCTTCAGACATGATTGGTTTGGATAACTGCAGTATGCTAAAAATATGCTAAATGAGCATCTAAAGCACATCGAGTTAAAAATAATATATTGAATAAGCATTGCTGAAAAATGTTGAACATGCCAAACCATCTAGTTCCATAGGATAAAGAAATTGCACTTCAGTTTTTCTTTCCCAGACCTAATATTGGGCAGTTTGAAGTTTTGTAGCTTTATTAGGGTCTATGATTTTATTTAACACACACAGCAAGCCAGGTAGCTTGAAGAAATTTTGCTTATTTACTTTCCCTTCACTAGGAATAAAAAAAAGTAATAATGGTGATTTTAACATTTAACTTGTTTAACAATCTCTCACAGGCTAGCAGCTGACAATTCAGGGAAATTTTAGTTCTTCAATTTCCCCTTTCCGGCCATAATTCTCTTATCTCAAATTATGAAGCGGTAGCTCAACTCCAAAACTCAAAAAACTGGATTACCTGGAATTCCAGTACAAATGAGCCCAAAAATTAATGGAAAGCCTTCTAAAATGCGATGCTATTAGATTTAACTGCCAATGTGCATGGGAAGGAAACCATGTCTAAACAATAGCTCAAAGGTTAGCATTTTTTCTCATTCTTTTTCACTACCCAAAAGAAATACCATAATCGGAAGATTCATTTAACAGGTTTTCTGGCATAAATTAACAGAGGATTTACCAGCATAATGTCAATGGCTTTTGACAGCCCCAAAAGCCTTGGAAGATATTGTGTACCTATAAAAAATTTAAAAAAGTTTAATCCATTGTGGTAAAGCATAAGAGATTTCACAGCTGAACTTGAAAGCACGTGTTCAAGCCTATGCGTGCAATTTCTACATAGAAAAGCGGTGTACCTCCAAATCCAGGAATTACTCCAAGCGTCAACTCTGGCAAGCCAAGTCGAGTTTTTGGTGCAGCAATACGCACATGGCATCCCTTCATAAATTAAATTTAGACAAGCGGATGAGCAAAGATGATGACAACCAAAACAAAGTTCTTTAAATACAGCTTTATAATAGAAAATGCAAACCATTGCCAATTCCAATCCCCCTCCAAGTGCTAATCCTTCCACGGCAGCAACAACAGGCTTCTTGCAATCTGTAGTTATGAAAGAACCAAAATAAAAAATAAAATCACCACAATCAATTAAACAAATAAATACAAACACTGCATCTTCTATAACAAACTGGTTGTATTCTCATTTAACTAGTCGAAATGATCGCAAAAGAGTAAGATCACAAGGGTTAAAGTTGGATAATTACCTTCAATAGTGTTGACCATAAGCTCAACAGATACATCAGGCACAAGTGAAACATCCCCTGTGAAGCCACTCAGTACAATCACAACCTCCAAATGGTGTTTAAAAAAAAAAAAAAAAAAATCTAACTAATTTCAAATTGGAAAGAAAAATTTCGACAGTGTGAGATTATTATAAATTAGGTATAGCATACCAGTGGCATGAACTTTCTGGAAAACATTGATGTCGAATCCACCAGAAAACCTTCCACCCTTGCCTTCAACAACACAAAAAAAATAAATAAAGAAATCATCATATATATTTTCAACCAAACCTCCAACAATAAATAAATAAATAAATAAAATCAGATATCGACTATTAATCCATATCTTCCATAACAATTAACAAAACTAATCGAGCCAAAAAATAAATACATAAATAATCAGTATCATAAAAAATAAGAAATAAATTACCAGTAATAACCATAGCTTTGACGTCATTTCTCCTAGTAGCTTCATCAAACTTCTCTTTCAATCCCGCAATGACTGCATCACCATCATCACCATCAAATTTAACACAAATCAATCACAAAAAATAAAAAAACCTCAAAATTATAGTAATAATAGACAGAGAAAGAGGAAATCTTTACTTGGAATAGCTAAGGCGTTGACTGGAGGATTGATCAGAGTCAACACAGCAACACCATCTTGTCCAACCTCCATGGTAACGTGAGGATTAGCCATGACTCTCTCTCTTTCTTAATTGTTACTTACAGAAAGAAGGAAATGCTTGTTTATGTCTATGGCTTTCTCTATTTTATAGAGAAAAGATCAATCGTTAAATGATCTTGTTAGTCCTTCAACTACTTTTATTGTATTAATCTATTCCCAATCATTCTAATTTGTTAATGCCATCCTTGTACCTCACAATTTTGTCTAAAGTTTACCTTCTTCCATCCTTATCAAATCAAACAATAAAGTTTAAAAAGAATTATCTGAGCATTATTGTAATAAAATTTATTAACCGTTTTAAAAATTAAGAAAATATAAATAAAATTTTACATTTTGTTTAATTGATCACTCATAAAAAAAAATTAATATGTCATTTCTTCCTTACTTTAAATAATGTGATATCATATATAAAAGTAATTTTATTTTTTAAAATAATAATTAATTTTAATTAGTTTTCCTTCTTTTAATCTAAAAACATGTTTTAGCTTAGTAGGATTTTGACTTTACATTAATTATTTATATATTTAAGAGTTTTATAAATATAAATGAGTTTATTTCATTTTATAAAATAATTTTAATTGAATTTAATTTTTACCAACCAAATTCTTAATTATTAAAATAAACAGCTCATTAAGATTTTATATTTAAGTACTATTATAGTTTTTGTACAATATACTTAATATTTGACTTGAATAAGACTTCAGTTATGAAGTGTGGACCTTATATTAAATGATATATGGACTATTTTAGTTAAACCTAATATGTGATTTACATGGAACTTGTGAAAATGGCTAGAAAGGTCATATTAACAAAAATATGAAGTATACGGTTCAAATTAAAAAATTAGATTGGTGAAGGGTTGTATTAACATGATAAAGATAGTATGGGGCCCAATCTCGTGATTTGAGCAGGCATAAATTAGGCTCCACCGCTTTTTTCCTGGGACTTCTTTGTCAAATCCACCTAAAAGAATTTGTCGATTTGTTATAAGTGCTGGTGGGGGCTGCTGACGCGTTGCACCGATAATGGTAGGTGGCGCCAGAGACGTAGTCATCTACATATGCTATTGATAAAACTGACATGGGGATTCGTTCTATCGTTTGTTAAAGAAATTGAAATAATTGGCGATCCTACGGCAGCCTCAGCTCTTTACCAAACGTACTTTTGTCCTAACTTGGTCAGCAAGCAATTTTAGTATCGTGTGTTCATGTTGACAGTAGTAGATAGGCATGTTATTAAGTCACATCAAGCTAAATAAATTTATTATTTACTTGTTTTAGTTCAAGTGTGATGTTTAAAATATGTTTTATGGTTTAAATAAATACAGCTCTCTTTATCACCAAGTAAATTATAAATTGGTTCGTCTCCTTTTGCAAAACAAATTAACTAGTCCACCTAATTAATTAATCTCTTTTTGATATGGACCGAATATGTTAGTTTTGCGCTCAAAAATGAGAAAAAAATATTTTTTCACAAAATAAATACACCAATATAATAATATTCTGATTTCACAATTGAATTTTCCCCTTGCTACATGAAATGAGAGTAAAAATTAAATTATATTTTTCATTTGTATGTGGAGAAAGGCGACAATAAAAATAAAATGTGAAAAAAACGAGAAAAAATATTTTTATCATCCATTCTAGAATAATAATTTTATTATTATTATCTTTAATTTTTGTAGTACTAGTGGTATCATTTTCATAAATATTATTGTAACCCACCTTGTTCTTGTTATCATTATTATCAATACAGTCACAATCGTCATAGTATCAACTCTTATCACTATAATTATAAGATATTATTATATATCGGTATGCAAACTTTTTTATTTATTTGTTTATTTTTATTTAAATATATAAATTTTAATTTTTTTCTAATAAAGTAATTCTATTAGATTTCGTTCAAATACATGCTGACATGATAATTAAATTAACATGTCATCATGTTGACGAATATCCAAAGGTGCATGTTATTTCACTTTATTTCTAATTAAGTATCGATACTTTTATTTTTATTTTTTTTGTTCTTCTTTCAATGTATGTATTTTTCTTATTTGAGTTTCGAGTACTATAAAAAATATATCAATGATTGCTTCTAATTTTAAAAAATAAATGGTTCGGTTTGTCTATATATAATGATTTGAGTTTTTAATATGTGTTCATATCCTTAATTAAGTCAATTTTGTTCTTATAAAATTACTAAATTTCCAATATACTTAACGTGGTGTAGCTTGATGTCGGAGTTGGGTTCGGTGAATTACTCTATATGGAAGGATAGAGAATTAAGAGAAAAAGTTGTCACCTAGTATTAAGAAACTATGAAACCCACACATGATTAGTCTATGTAGAAATCTAGTTAAAGGGTTGGTTTCGAGTGAAGAAGATCAAAATCACCTCCATCACATTCTACTTAAGATAGGCCGTATTACATGCATGTTGAATGTTAAAATCTAGTCTTATTATGTTTTTCATCTATACCTATTAAAGTAAATTTAACCTATAGAGGTAGGTTCACCGAGTAGTTTGGGATTTAGACTGGTTGAAGGCCTATTTCCCTACTCTAAATTAAAAAAGAAGAAGAAGAAACATTTGAGATAGGAAGCCACCGATGGCTTTGACTCATAACACACGATTGAGAAGCCTACGATGACGTCAACCCACATGAAATAATTGAAAAGTCTACAATGACTTTGACAACATAATCGAGAAAATTATGATGGTTTTGACCCATATAATTTTAGGAAGTCTACTACAACTTTGACTCACATCACATAATTGGAAAGTCTACAACAAATTCAACCCACATAATTTTAAGAAACCTACAACATTTTCTACTAACATAAATTTGAAAAGTGTATTACAACTTCGACCCATAGCACACAATTGAAAAGTTTACGATAATTTTGACCAACATAAATTTGGAAAGTTTACTATGACTTCGACTCATATCACAATTGAAAAGTCTACGATGACTTCGACCTACATAATTTTGAAAAACCTACGATAGTTTCAATCCATATAAATTTATAAAATCTATTATGACTTTGACCTATATCACACAATTGGGAAGTCTATGACTATATTGACCCACATCATACAATTATGAAGTCTACGACAACTTCAACCTACATAATTTTAAGAAGTCTACTATGACTTTGATCCATATCACATAATTTGGAAGTCTACTATGACTTTGATCTACATAATCAAGAAACCTATTATAGTTTTAATCCATATAAATTTAGAAAGTCTACTACGACTTCAACCCATATAATTTTAGGAGACCAATAACGAACTTGACTTACATCACATAATTTCATTAATCACATATACATATAGCACATTTGATCATGTCAAAATATGGCATCCACCTTTGAGGAAAACATTGATCACTTCCACACGCACATATCATACTTGTATATCACATTTTAGTCGAGATACAACATCAATTTTTGAGGTTAACATCGATTATTTCACCACACTCACATGCACATCACTTTTACATATCACACTTAGTCAAGATACGATGTCAACTTTCAAGATCAACATCGATTATTGCACCATACGCATACATCACACGTGATTGAGACATGGTGTCCACCTTTGAGGTCAACATCGATTATTTTACCACAAACATTTACATATCACTTTTTTGTATTATACTTAGTTGAGATACATTGCCAACCTTTAAGGTCAACACTAATTATTTTACCACATGCACACATCATATTTAATGGAGATATGGTGTCAATCTTCGAGGTTAATATTGATTATTTCACCATACAAAAATATCACATTTACACATCATATTTCAAAAGTCAAACCACATAAGAAAATATGACATACACATCACATTTAATCAATCATATCATAAAAACAACATCATTCTCAAATGTGTACATACACATTTGAGATTGACACTTGTTACGGTTAAACTATTGAAATTAAAATTCATACTCGGTCTTTTCGACTTTATTGCAACACATTGAACACCAAGCTTATTTCATCTCAAAAGTACCTAAGATCTCCGACTCTTTCGGGTTCGATACACAATGGTGTATCTTATTCAAACTTCAAATCACATATGTATACTGTAAATATCACATACATTCGTTATATCAATCTAAAGAGATTTTCTTTTAAGAAAAAAAGTAAATGCAATACAAAGGTATCGAGAACTTACTTTACTAGTCAAAATGACCAAAGAGTCTCCCTAGGAGTGTCGTGGATGCCTTTTAGGTCAAAAACCAATAACGTCTTCTTCAACCCTCCAATGGAGTCAATTAATGTTGTCGACAAACAAGAAGGAAGATTAACACTTCAAGTCATGGTTTACCCTTTTTATTCGCTTATTTAGACCATGTTTCTTAGATCTAAATAAACTAACTTTTGGTCAAAGTCATCATATTATCATCCTTTAATTGAAATTTAGGCCTACGGTTTCAATAATGATTTGAGGGTTTTGTTTAGGGTAGTTTTGAGATTGTTTAGCTGATAGCTTAGGGTTGTTTTGAGGTTGTTTTATAGCTATTTTAAGGTGGCTTTGGAGGCTAGAAGTTGGCGTGTATAAGGCTAGATGGTGGGTAGCTTGGGGGTTGGTTTTGGTGGTTGTTTGTGATGAGTTTTTGGTCGCTATTTATGGGTTAGAAGCTTGAAATTTTAGGGGTTGTTTGTGACAAGTTTTGATGGTTATTTTAGGGTTAGAAGTTGGTGTAGTTAGAGAGGAAGAAATGGGCTATTAGTAACTATAAATAAAGGAAAGGGGTTGCTTATTATGGCTAATAGAAATAAAGGAGTAAAGTCGTTGTTGTTGCCTATAAAAATGAAGAAGTGTGGCTATTATTGTGGTCGATGGAAATAGAGGAGTGGGACTGTTGTTGTAGTCAATAAAAATAGAGGAAAAAAGGTAGGTTATAGGCTGACATAAGTAGAGAAGGACATGGGAAGGTTGGGTGGTGACTTTGGAAGAGAAGAGAAAGAGGTTGTAGAGCTTGAGTTGTGGTGACTATG